TCGCACTTTCGTATAGTCAATATTGACTTATTATATACGTGCATATGTGACATACTAATTTATTGTGAATATTTTAGTTTACCTTGAAAAGCTTCATAGAAAACACCGACCTTACCTAACCTTCTTAGTATGTTAAGATAAGCATCTTATTGCTTCATAATTACAATTATTACTAAACCTATTATAGGTTAAGTAATATTAACCTAATAATAATAATAATAATAATAATAATAATAATAATAATAATAACCTATTATAGGTTAAGTAATAATTGTAATTACGAAGCAATAAGATGCTTATCTTAACATACTAAGAAGGTTAGGTAAGGTCGGTGTTTTCTATGAAGCTTTTCAAGGTAAACTAAAATATTCACAATAAATTAGTATGTCATATATTCACTTATTTAATAAGTCAATATTGACTGTAAGAAAGTGCGCGAACGAGTTGTCCTCTCAGACCCACACGTGACGACGTTTCGCTCGGTGGTGCACAATACCTTTGACCATGGACCGAAACATCAGCACTTAAACATGTATGTATCATGTATCATAGGGATACATATCTCAGCCATGGTACAGGGGGGTGTAATCCTCCATTACCCCCTATTTTATTGACATATCTCCACACGAGTGGATCAAAAATAGCATAAAACTGAGCGTCATAGAGTGTGGGAATCTACCCCAATAATTGGCTAAGTTTGTCATTAAAAGTCATTACCATTTTTTGTTTTACTTAAGGATTTAGTCGATAACTTCGATAACTTCAAGAGACAATGTACTTACCCAAGCTTTGGTGTGGTCTTATCTTAAATCCCCTTCTGCACAAGTTTGGCGAAATTTTACACTTGAAACTTTGTACTATCATTAAGACTTTTTAGTGCTCACAAGACTGAGTCTAAATAGTGATCATAAAATTAAATAATAAATTAATAGTAACATATCAATGAGAGAATCTACTTTGGCTCCTCTGGATTTTTTCATTTATATTACGATAATGGGATTTATATGTGTTTTGAAAGAGGAGTGTGAGAGGTCTCCCATGTTGACTGAACATCCACGGTAGTGTGGCATAGTTTCTATGGCGTCACAGAACCTGTTGTGTAGTCAGCTGGTGAAGCATACGAAGCAGCTACATCTTTCCCCACACGGGTTCTGTCATTTTAGACTTTATTGTGGATGTTACGAGGGTTGAAATTCCCTTTTGTGTAGCTTAGATACAGGACGCACTTAGATCGATCTGTCATGTGGCGCAGTGAGATCGATCAGTCGCAGTGAGATCGATCAGTCACATGGTGCAGTGAGATCGATCAGTCACATGGCGCAGTGAGATCGATCAGACACATGGCGCAGTGAGATCGATCTGTCACATGGCGCAGTGAGATCGATCAGTCACATGGCGCAGTGAGATCGATCAGACACATGGCGCAGTGAAATCGATCAGACACATGGCGCAGTGAGATCGATCAGACACATGGCGCAGTGAGATCGATCTGTCACATGGCGCAGTGAGATCGATCAGTCACATGACGTACTGAGATCAGTAAGTCATAAGACAATCTGTATTTCGTCTTCCTGTCAGCCACTCCAGAAACTTAGGTCTCTCTTCAAGACAATGTTGTTTTACCAAACTTTCTTTATCTGAGTAACTAAATTCATTCTGACTCTTCTGTCTGTCTGTCTCTCTCTCTCTCTCTCTCTCTCTCTCTCTCTCTCTCTCTCTCTCTCTCTCTCTCTCTCTCTCTCTCTCTCTCTCTCTCTCTCACTTACCTCCATGGGCGATGCATGTAAGGACCAACATATCCCCCTCCTGGTAGGGTCCCGCCACACTGGTTACGGTCAGTTGTGGGTCGCCCACAACGCCCGCTATCACACTCACACTCTCTGGAGGCACTGTGGCAGGAGGGGAAGCAGTCATTATTGTGTGGCGTAAAAGGGGAAGGTATTACCGAGCAAAGAGGCATTTTACTGGGTGGTATTTGAAGGCATTATACTGTGGCGTGTGGTGTGGGTAGGCATTACTGTGGTGTGGGTAGGCATTACTGTGGTGTGGGTAGGCATTACTGTGAGGAAAAAGCAGGAAGCAGCTTTGTGGGTGGGGGAAAATATATATTATTGTGGGGAAAAAGCTTTATTGTGGGGGGTAAAGTGTTTAAAAACAAACCACTGACTATTCCCCTTGTGATTCCGATGCAACATATCGAAGCACGTATTTCGAGAAACGGAGTGTGCCGCGGGCAAGAGGAGGAGGAACCGGGTTTCCCCAGAAGCGGTAATTGAGTTACGAAAGCGCGGCCATACCACTTGAGTGATTGCTGGCGATTGGGCGGACCGAGAAGGGGTTTGACGGTCCGCTTTGTATCTGTACCGGACATAAGCCAGCCCACCGCTCAAGCAGCGAGGTATACGCTCCAGCGAAATATTTCGGTTCAGTTATGCCTTCTCTTGTAACAGGTAAAGTGAATATATATATGGTAGCAAAGGAGGGTCATTTCGCTTCTACCTTCTACCTGAGGTATATCTCCTACCTGAGGTATACCTCCTACCTGTCTTTAATTGCGCCCGAGGTGGTCATTGTAATCCGTCAGATATGTGGTCTGAATGAGAACAATAACGCTACGGCAACTTCTGGATGCAGTACAGGTTCATCTTATCTACCTTTAAGTAGACTGTGGAGCTCCTGAGAGCGTCTACCATCGCCTGCATCTACCACTCGACAACCTATACGCCTCCTCTCTAACCTGCTTCCTCTCCCAATCCTTTGAAGGACTCAATATATATATATATATATATATATATATATATATATATATATATATATATATATATATATATATATATATATCGTATCTCACATGTTTAAAACGTAAGAGACTTTTCTTGAGAAAGTCTCCACTTGGTTAACAGAATGTATTTATATTTCATGACTGGTTACAGTCAGCAATTAAACTCATACACCTGTATGATTCGCTGTATGTTAGCGACAGGTTAATTAGCGCACGTCCCCTGAGACGCTGAAACACTTAAACCTTGAGAGGTTAATTTAATTATTCCTCTACACAGAACAAGGAGCAGGAGGCTCTTTGTAACTAGAGGAAGGAGGAAGATAGTTTTAACTAGAGGAAGGAGGAAGATAGTTTTAACTAGAACAGGAGACCATTTTAATAAGTAGAAGAAGAGAGAGTATTTTTAACTAGAAGAAGATAATTTTGTTTGTAGATAGAGGAAGAGAAAGATTTTTTCTTTTTGGACAAGTGGATGCAGGAGGAGACATTTCTATCTAGAGATAGATACATTTTCAGTACCTAAAGTAGAAAAAGAGGATTTTTGCAGAAGAGGAAGAGGATTTTTTCAATGGAAGAGTAAATCTGGTGGCAGAAGAGGGAGAAGGCGTCGTTTCGCACTAACGACAGAAGACGTTTCGCACTAACAACAGGAGAAGTCATTTTGCACTAGCCAAATATCTCATCTCATTACTCCACACCTGAGAAGTTTACTAGCCCCAGAGGACAAGGTGCTTAACCCTTGCTTAAGTAACTCAAATGTTACTTAAAGTAACTCAAATCTTGCTTAAGTAACTCAAATGCAAGACGAACATATTTCCTTCACATATTCTCGCTTTCGTACACACAAGTTTTATTGACTGTTCAATTTCCCGCTCATTAGGTCCACACCTGTCTGAGTGCCTTTCGTAGAAAAATATTGGGGGAAGAGGTCTTAAGATAAGTATTAGATGTGTGGTGGTGGTTGGGTGGGTAATTGTGGTGGTTAGTGGTGTAGATGGTGGTGGTTGAGGGTGGTGGATGTGGTTGTGGTGGTTGTGGTTATGTAGGTGGTGAGATTGTGGTGGGGGGAGAAGGGGGAGTGATTATTATTAGTTGTGGAAAAGACAGTTGTGTTGATGCTGGAGATCTATAATTATATTGGAAAGGAAACTTTTAAAATGTATTGAGAGAGAGAGAGAGAGAGAGAGAGAGAGAGAGAGAGAGAGAGAGAGAGAGAGAGAGAGAGAGAGAGAGAGAGAGAGAAAGAGAGAGACAGAGAGAGAGAGAGAGACAGACAGACAGACAGACAGACAGACAGACAGAAACAGAGAGATAGAAAGCAAAAGAGACAGTTGAAAAAGCTTTCCAATATAGATGTAATATATATGAAGATTCTAATTTTAAATGAAAATAGTGAATAAATATCTTGACGAACTGTTTTAAACTGTTTTTATGTCATCTTCATTTATACCTGTAGAGATCTGTATCGTTTTCTGTCTGTCTGTCTCTGTCTGTTCGAGGTTAGAGGTCAGACACTCGGGGCTAGCTTCACTAAATTGTTCACGGTAATAGCTGTTGCGTACATATCCAACCTTAACTGGTTGGGATATAGGCATCAATGAAAAGACTGCCACCTGACACTGTGTCAAAGCGACCCCCACGAAAAATCTTGCTGTACGATTATGACTTCTCTCTGAATTATTATTATTATTATTATTATTATTATTATTTACAGTACTATAAATATTTGTAAAAAATGTAAAAAAAATTAAAAATATTTGTTTTACATTTTTTTCCAAAGTGTTTATCTGGAGGGCAGTGAAAAAATTTCCGTATTGTTCAGCATATGACCGTGACACGCTATCCTCTTTTGCACTGTGACTACCAAAAACCCGATCATGTCAGGCACATACCTCCCAGGCATCAGGGTGCAAAGTTTAGCGAGGCTAGCCACAAGCATCTACCTTCTATGAGCCTCGAACAGACACATATTCCACATCCCATGAGACACATCTCTCCCCCTGACTTACCAACAACAGTGAGATTGACTCGGGTCGTTTTGGTGGGCTGGACCTTGAAGTCGACGCGACAGGTGTAGAGGCCCTGGTCAGCGAGTCCCAGGTTCGATACCCTGAGTAGCGCTGGCGACGTCGTTACCTCCAAGACGGCCCTCGACCCTAGCTGCTCCTCGTCCGACCAATGTCGCTCCTTTCCTCGACCAAGCCACCGTTCGTCCAGTCTGGCGGTATAAATAATCCGGATTATCAGTATTGCAACCTATCCTCTGAATCCGTTTTAATACTAAGTGTAATAAGTGCATTTCCTGACTGTCATACATAGTACATAATTGCACTTATGGGGCTGTTACATTTACCCTCCCCATTTTTGGAGGACTGACTGTATTATTCTGGTGTCGTGTTGTCGTTGACTGTATTATTCTAGAGTCGTGTTGTCGTTGACTGTATTATTCTAGTGTCGTGTTGTCGTTGACTGTATTATTCTGGTGTGTTGTCGTTGACTGTATTATTCTGGTGTCGTGCTGTCGTTGACTGTATTATTCTGGTGTGTTGTCGTTGACTATATTATTCTGGTGTCGTGCTGTCGTTGACTGTATTATTCTGGTGTGTTGTCGTTGACTGTATTATTCTGTTGTCGTGTTGTCGTTGACTGTATTATTCTGGTGTGTTGTCGTTGACTGTATTATTCTGGTGTCGTGCTGTCGTTGACTGTATTATTCTGGTGTCGTGCTGTCGTTGACTGTATTATTCTAGTGTCGTGTTGTCGTTGACTGTATTATTCTGGTGTCGTGTTGTCGTTGACTGTATTATTCTAGTGTCGTGTTGTCGTTGACTGTATTATTCTGGTGTCGTGCTGTCGTTGACTGTATTATTCTGGTGTCGTGCTGTCGTTGACTGTATTATTCTGGTGTCGTGTTGTCGTTGACTGTATTATTCTGGTGTGTTGTCGTTGACTGTATTATTCTGGTGTCGTGTTGTCGTTGACTGTATTATTCTGGTGTCGTGTTGTCGTTGACTGTATTATTCTGGTGTGTTGTCGTTGACTGTATTATTCTGGTGTCGTGCTGTCGTTGACTGTATTATTCTGGTGTCGTGTTGTCGTTGACTGTATTATTCTGGTGTGTTGTCGTTGACTGTATTATTCTGGTGTCGTGCTGTCGTTGACTGTATTATTCTGGTGTCGTGTTGTCGTTGACTGTATTATTCTGGTGTCGTGTTGTCGTTGACTGTATTATTCTAGAGTCGTGTTGTCGTTAAACTAGCGTGCACCAGTCGTGTGACTGGTGCGCATAGTGAAACTGTTATCTTGAGATGATTTCGGGTCTTAGTGTCCCCGCGGCCCGGTCCTCGACCAGGCCTCCACCCCTAGGAAGCAGCCCGTGACAACTGACTAACTCCCAGGTACCTATTTACTGCTAGGTAACAGGGGCATCAGGGTGAAAGAAACTCTGCCCACTGTTTCTCGCCAGCGCCCGGGATCGAACCCGGGACCACAGGATCACGCGTCCAGTGTTCTGTCCGCTCAGCCACCGGCTCCCTCACTCTCGGCTCGCAGCCACTCTGAGCATCCTCGTAGGGCCTCGTAGCCTGGTGGATAGCGCGCAGGACTCGTAATTCTGTGGCGCGGGTTCGATTCCCGCACGAGGCAGAAACAAATGGGCAAAGTTTCTTTCACCCTGAATGCCCCTGTTACCTAGCAGTAAATAGGTACTTGGGAGTTAAGTTAGCTGTCACGGGCTGCTTCCTGGGGGTTGAGGCCTGGTCGAGGACCGGGCCGCGGGGACACTAAAGCCCCGAAATCATCTCAAGATAACCTCAAGAAGAAGAAGATCCTACATCACCTTATCTCAAGCCTGGGCACCTAGACACGTATTTATTTAACGATCTAATTAGTTTCCATTTGGACTAAACTCCATGTAAGTTTCTATTATGTAAGGTGAAGGATGAACCAGGAGCCAGCTATGTGCCAGAGCCTTCAGATAGTCGGTTGATATAATGTCATATTGTGTCATATTCTACCTGATCAACCAGGCTGTGACTCATGCGTCAGGCTGCGAGCAGCCGCGTCTAACAGCCTGGTTGATCAGTCCAGCAACCAGGAGGCCTGGTCGACGACCGGGCCGCGGGGACACTAAGCCCCGGAAGCACCTCAAGGGAAGGTAACCTCAAGGTTGTGAGGGGATATGTTCCATATACGAGTTAGGAGTATACTGAGATATAGGAGTATAGTCAGTATAATCTTAGCCCGAAACGCTGTGTGTATTAATGTTTTTTTAATCATAGTATAATCTAACTCTATCTAGAAATCCAATATTATGTTTGTAATTCATTTTTAATGTATGTACTTTTATATGGATAAACATTATCTTATCTTATTATCTTATCGTATAAGGCTCTTAATGGCTGAGCGCCTGGAGTTGTGGTGGCCAACTTCTTGTTATCTCTCTCTCTCTCTCTCTCTCTCTCTCTCTCTCTCTCTCTCTCTCTCTCTCTCTCTCTCTCTCTCTCTCTCTCTCTCTCTCTCTCTCTCTCTTTCGTCTATCTACCTCACCCTTTTTCTCATAACGATATGAGATAAGAGCTTAACAGTGGATAAGAACGACATTCTTGTATTTCTACATTCTTATCGCTGTATTCTACAGCGAGTGTAGAATACATTAGTGCAAGCTGCAGTGTACTCAGCTCAAAAACGGAAGATTACCATCAACAACAACAACAGCACCACAACAGCACCACAACAGCACCACAACAGCAGAATATAACAGACAGCAACAGTAGCATCAGCAGCTGTATCACTCCCAACAGGAAACGTTTGCCCCATTACAGAAAACGTTGCCAGCGATGAGTTAGACGCGGCGCATCTCGTTTTCTATGTGCGCGCTCGGACGGAAAGGGGATACCAAGGAGGATTATAGTGAATATATGATTGGCTACCCAGCGATCTTTACCCAGTCGTGCGTCACACGACCCGAGGGGCAAGATATTCCTCTTTTTACTTCCTTTGAATTCAACATTCTGCCCTCCTCAGCAAAAAAAATAAAAATATATATATATTTGTTAAAGCTGTTTGATTCGGCAACTTCAGGAGTGGATACAACGTCGAAGTGATTTGCTGGACATTTGAGCAACGTGTTCGCATCCCAACAAGACCTTTTACCCGGCATCCTGACTAACCAGACTGTAGTAGGTGTAACACTATATTCCTTCGGTCTATCGCATTTTAGCTCTAAGGTTTTTTTTCGCATTGAATTGCTACCTTCCGTTAGTAAGCGCTGGAAACTCAGGGGATCGAACACAAGGCCACTAAGGGTCTCAGGCGCACCTAACTGGTACTCAACCGAGAAACTGAACCTTAGTCAGCTGGGGGACAGTAGGTGTGATACACGTTCTTCGTCTTATAGAGGGTAGGACATAACTAGTCCGAGGGTAGGTAGTTCAATTGAAATTGGGCTGTTGATGGATGGGTGAAAGATGCCTTGATGTGTAGTACTTTAGCTATGTCTAATCTCTTAATGTTGTATCTGTGGATTATTCCATTGTGTGTGTGTGTGTGTGTGTGTGTGTGTGTGTGTGTGTGTGTGTGTGTGTGTGTGTATGTGTGTGTGTGTGTGTACTTACCTAGTTGTGCTTGCGGGGGGTTGGGCTTTGGCTCTTTGGTCCCGCCTCTCAACTGTCAATCAACTGGTGTACAGGTTCCTGAGCCTACTGGGCTCTATCATATCTACATTTAAAAGTCTGTATGGAGTCAGCCTCCACCACATCACTGCCTAATGCATTCCATTGGTCAACTAATAAGACACTAAACAAATTCTTTCTGATATCTCTTTGGCTCATTTGGGGATCTCAATATCCACCTGTGTCCCCTAGTGCGTGTGCTCCTTGTGTTAAATAATCTATCTTTATCTACCCTATCAATTCCCTTGAGAATGTTGTATGTAGTGATCATGTCCTCCCCTAACTCTTCTGTCTTCCAGCAAAGTGAGGTTTAATTCCCGTAGTCTCTCCTCGTAGCTCATGCCCCTCAGTTCGGGTACTAGTCCGGTGGCAAACCTTTGAACCTTTTCCAGTTTAGTCTTATGCTTGAAGAGACATGGACTCCTTGCTGGAGCTGCATACTCCATAATTTGTCTGACATATGTGCGTGCATTTATTATTTGTTTTTACTATTTGTATCTGCAAAATCGAGCTATTAGCTCTTGGACCCCGCCTTTCTAACTAATATTTTTAGTCTATTATGTCTACTACATATATTTCTCTCTAACACACACACACACACACACACACACATGTTATTACAGAATAACAGAACACCAGAAAGCAGAGAGAGATACCAGAGAACCAGGAATGAGTACGTCAGGGTGAGAAGAGAAGCAGAGAAAAATTTTGAAAATGATATAGCAAACAAAGCCAAGACCGAACCAAAGCTACTCCACAGTCACATCAGAAGGAAAACAACAGTGAAAGAACAGGTATTGAAACTTAGAACAGGCGAGGACAGGTATACAGAGAATGACAGAGAGGTGTGTGAGGAACTCAACAAGAGGTTCCAGGAGGTCTTCACAATAGAACAGGGTGAGGTCACTGTGCTAGGAGAAAGGGAGGTAAACCAGGCGGCCTTGGAGGAGTTCGAAATTACGAGAGAGGAGGTCAAGAGACACCTGCTGGATCTGGATGTTAGAAAGGCTGTTGGTCCAGATGGGATCTCACCATGGGTACTGAAAGAGTGTGCAGAGGCACTTTGCCTGCCACTCTCCATAGTGTATAGTAAGTCACTAGAGACGGGAGACCTACCAGAAATATGGAAGACGGCGAATGTGGTCCCAATATACAAAAAGGGCGACAGACAAGAGGCACTGAACTACAGGCCAGTGTCCTTGACTTGTATACCATGCAAGGTGATGGAGAAGATCGTGAGAAAAAACCTGGTAACACATCTGGAGAGAAGGGACTTCGTGACAAATCGCCAACATGGATTCAGGGAGGGTAAATCTTGCCTTACAGGCTTGATAGAATTCTACGATCAGGTGACACAGATTAAGCAAGAAAGAGAGGGCTGGGCGGACTGCATTTTCTTGGATTGTCGGAAAGCCTTTGACACAGTACCGCATAAGAGGCTGGTACATAAGCTGGAGAGACAGGCAGGTGTAGCTGGTAAGGTGCTCCAGTGGATAAGGGAGTATCTAAGCAATAGGAAGCAGAGAGTTACGGTGAGGGGTGAGAC